CAGAGCAGACACAAGCAAACTGTCCCTTCGTCCTGGCTTCCTCCGTTGGTATTCCTGACACAGGACAACCATTGTGTGATGGACACAGGAGTTCCTTGTGCTGTCGTTGTGCAGATATTTAAGAATTAGCACATTTTGTAGTCCTTTGAAAAGCCTGTGCACATTCTCCATGCATATCTGATGTCAGAAGTTATGAGGCACTCCTTCAGTATTTATGAAAATGCATTTTGTTTTACAGTAAGACTTTTCCCAAGAGTATGATGTTACACTGTATGCAGAATGAAAATACTGTTTTGACTGTTTTGTTGACTTGCTAATGATGGGCAAGGCTGTATTCTAACCCTTCCTTGGTTTCTTGCATTCTGTTTTAATCCAAGATCTCACCTCTCAGTTCTTTGTCAGGGCAGACTCTGTAGCAACTTTTTCACAGTTGCAACTGTTTGAATACCAAAGTAAGTCTGAATGTGTGTGCTAATTTTTTAATCCAGGAGGAAAAACATTTATAAATTTTTGAAGTTAACAATTGGTAAATTGTTATATTCTTATCCGAACTGTTTTAAATCACTGAAATAACTTATTAAAATAAATAATTTTTGATATCTCAGCTGTGATGTGAATGATGCCAGATGCTCCTCTGTTTAAGTATTGCTCATTGAATTTTATGAATTTTGCCATCATTTGAAGCAGTGAGTGAGTTCTTGCTGAAACGTGGTCTGCTGGTGTGTTCTGGTATGTTCTGCTGGAGGTTGGAAGAAGGGCAGTTCTGTGTTTTTAAGATGAACTGACTTAATGATTGTTTCTGTAGACATGGTTATTGTTGCTCTTCCATCTGCCTGCAAACACACAGGGCAGAAGGAAAAGGTCAAGGATCATGTTTAACTTGTGACTCCTACCCGACCTTTTTCAGTGAGAGGTAGATATCAACTTCAGCCCCAGTGAGAATCAGATTTGTATGAACTTGAACAAAAAACTCTGAAAGAGGCAGAGATTAAGTTGGTGGTAATTTGGAAGAACAGTAATCTTGATGTTTACCAAATCATGATGTTTATGCTTTCTGCCCCTTAGTTTGTGTGGGCAGAGGTGCTGCTGGGGCAATGCACACTCTCCTTATGTTGTGATTTTTTATAATTGTTGGGAGTTTTGGGAACAAAATTTTCTCAGTCTTTTGATAAAAATTATATGCTTATTGAACATGAATCAACATGAGATGTCTGCAGCCTACTCCTTCTAGGTCATTAGATAAGCTAAAGGGTCTTTATCACCTTTGAATTTGGGACTATTGGTATGCATGAGCTCTGCAGTCCAAAATATTGCTTTATTTAGGTGTTTTGTTGCCTGTATTCACGTTTTTTCTGCCCCAATGCATCTTTATGTTTCTCTGTTGAAAGCACTTTGTTAGTTCTGCAGTTCTCTTGATGGTGAGATGGTGTGAGCTGTGTACCAGGCGTTATCTTTGAATTCTTCAAACCAGTTGTAAAAATCTGAATGTGGAATGAAAGCTGAAGTGCAGTGTTTGAATTCTGCTATAGTCGTGTGTCAGCGTTTCCAAGTGCAGTCCAACTAGTTGGCTTGGTTCCAGACTGAAATTCCATTTATATCATTAGAAATAGAAGTTACAGATAATGAAAATTAACCTTCAGAATCAGTTCAGAGGCAAATTTATCCTCTGACCCATAACAGTATTTGTAAACATGCACAGCTATTAGTTTTAAAAGAATTTAAATTAAAATAAAAGCAGTTTAATTAATTACTAGTCTACATTTTTAGCTTTACTCCAGTAAAACTGGGAACCATGAGCTTGACTAAAATAAAGCAGAAGTAGTTTCCTTAACACTTATATACTCCTGAATTGCAGTTTATCTCCAGATCTTTTACAATATGTATAAATTATCAGTGTTCAGGACACTTTTCTCTGAAGATCACATCATGAATTATTAAATATGCCACTATATTTTGGAAAGTATATGGAAATAAGTAATAAATAGAAATGAAGGAACATTAGGTCTCTTAGGAGAAGGCACTGTAAAATCTGGCCTACTTTAAAGTTGATTAAAAATCCAAAATAAATATATTTAAATACACATTAGAAGTATAAGTTGTTCATGTGTATATGGCAAATTTGTACCTTGATGTGCTGTGTTTGTGACATTAAGCAGCTGACTGAGGATTCTATTCACTTTAAACAGCAGCATCATTCTTTGTAGTGAGGCACCTATCAATTGTTCAGTACTTTTGAGGACCAGGAAAAAATGAATCTGTGCTATAACTTCATTCTGCTTTTTCAGTTTTCAGGTGTGTTTCTGGTAATTTAGTTTCAGGAAAACAGGTAAAAAATTAAAATTTGAAAATAGACACAACACTTGAATTAATTACCTTGATTTACCCTGCTGTTCATGCAAGAGGAGTAATAACAAAAAAAAACAACTGGAAGAAGGAGAGAGAATTCTCACTGTAAAATACTTAGAATAGAGCAGCTGTGACTGGCTTTACACAGATGTAATTTCCAAGCAATTTTAGAGTCTCTCCTTAAGCTGCAGATTGCCTGTTTTCCTTTTGGAAAGAGGAGAAGTGTCCTTCACTTCCTCTGTAGTCGGGATGGTGCTTTTTTTTTTACTAGATAAAGGTGACTGACAGGGAATTAATGAATCTCCCAGTGCACTGTTGATGGCTCTGCTCACCCCTGCCGAGCACTGCCCGTGTCTCCCCACAAGTACCTGATTTACTCCCGTGTGCTCCAGCACAGTCATGGGCCATCAGGACAAAAAAGTGCCTCCTGCTCTGTTAGTGGTGAGGATTTCTGTCCTTTACTCCTTGTTCATGGATTGAGCTCAGCTGCTGCAGGACTTCTGGTATTTGTGGTTTTGTTGGGCTTTTTTTTGGCTGCTCAGGAGCTTCCGCTGCTGTTGTACCTCAAAAGCTGCCCAGGGCTTGAGCCTCAGCTGGTATTGACAGCATGGATTTAGGATTCATGGCCTAAGGAACCTTTCATAGATTTTTTTTTTTTCCCAACTCCACTCTTGAGATAATTATAAATAGCAGTAGCTGAGTTTTGCTAAAAGATTGCAAACAGCAGAGGAAATTCCCCAGGGGCACAGGGATTAGGTTCCGTTATCTTAAAAAGATTTTTTTTTTTTACAAGATGTAGCATGAAATACTGTTTCTTGTGCAATTTCTTGTACATTTTGGTTTTGTCTTCTGCTGGCATCAAAATTTCTTAATCTATTTCTGATAACATTGTGTCAAACCCAGAGAACTTAAAGGGGAAAACAAAGTGGTTTCCACTTGGAAGAAAAAAAAGGCTGTTGGAAAGAGAACAGCGGCCCAGTGCTTTCATGAGGTCACGGCTGTCTTCTTTCTGTTTTATTAAAAAGAAGGTTTCTTCTTTCTGCAGATGATGGTGTATATTAATGACTTCTGGAGCGTGGCCCTTCTGCCATCAGTGCTCAGTTGGAGGCACATAAGCTCTTTATAACAGAGTGCAACATTCCTGCTACACAAACAGTTTATTTGCTGTTAGAGAAAAAAAAAAAGTGAGTTCTCCCTTGAACTGTCCCTCAAGCTAAGTATTAAATTTAGCTTCTTTTATGGTGTACTTACTGGAAGGGGAATGAAGGAGAAAAGTTAGATTTCAAGCAAGACAATAAAAAAAAAGTTACCAATACCATGGGTTTATTTTCTTTTTAAGGTAAACTTCTCTGGAAGGGAACTCTGAAGTCAAAAAATAATGCTGTCTCCAGTCATTATTAACTACAAAACTCTCCATCTTCTAAGCAGGGGTGGCAGTGGACTTTTTAGTTTGTTTCCTCTATTTAGGCACCCTTGTTTTCTGAGAATCCTTTAACAGTGCAGCAGAACTGCTGTCTGCCTCTTCCTCTTCACTTCCCCATTTCAACTGCAGCACAGTGTAACAAGCAAAGTAACTGGAAGTTACAATTAATTTAAGAGCAGTCTAGTTTCAGCTATTAAAATGGAAAGACTAAAGTTTGAAGAGGAGTGTGAAATTCTTGAAGGACTCCCCTTTTATCAAGGGGTACAGAAACTGTGATGTTGATGGGTTAAGTGAAAACAACTGTATTTTAATATTTGAGGTGGTTTCTGTTTCTCTTCCTATATTAAACTGACAGACGGAGTTGCTTGGGACGGCAGTGACCTGTACTTAACAAGGTCTTATCTTCTATTCTTAAAACTCCATAAAATTATGAGTTTCCTTGTAGCAAGTGTTCATCTTCCTACTACAAAGGTAAAGTTCTATTCAAATTGTGTCAGGTGTTAAAGAAATATTATTAAAGCTAAAAATGTTTTATAAATAGTGGAACGTGAGTGTAATCATTTACCAAATGTATTTGATGGATTCTTTGTTTAACTATTCAATAATGCTGGGGAAAATCATAGGTTTTATTTATGAATGCACTTTAGGTAGCTCATTCATTTTAAACAGACATATTTTACTGTTAGAAAAATCTACAGATCTGTGGTGCTTCAAGCACTTTGCTGTAATTTAGATTAACCATGGTGCATTTTCCAGGAATGCTGTTAGATATCACAGAGTTAACTCAGAAAAGCATACCAGAATGTAAAGAAACCACATTTGTTTATTGTCTAGCAGTTTATCAGTTAATCTTGGTTAGGCATATATACAGCCAAGCTGGAAAGCAGAACTGGGTTTTGGAATGTGATCAAAGAATAAGTTTATTCTCCTCTGGATCATGTAGCACAAACTCTTTAGGAACAAAGGGCAGGAATCAAGAGTATAATCCCATCAGGGAGGAAGAAGAGCCAGCCTAAGGACATTTGTTCCATTCACTGTAGTGTGCTGTTGTACCTGAGAATAAAATGCTGTTTGCAGTAATACTGAACTTCATCTTGTTAGTGATCTGATCAGTTTTACTTTGAAGAGAAACTATATATAAAAATTACACCTCTTTACTCAACAGTTTCATTCCTTGGGGATAAAACTGTTTAAAGATATTTACCTGAATCACACAAATATCTATTTTAAAAAAAAAAAATCTTTATTACCTGTCTGTCAAAATCAAGAGTACACAGAGAACGTAACTAAATTCTGTCCTCAGCATTTCATCTTTTAGAGTGAAAATGTAACTGCAGATGGAAACCACGAGACCATCACAGCAATCAGCAGGAAAAGCAGTCCTCCATCCCTAACAAGCTGCATAATGGTATAATTTCTTGGCTTTCGTCCACATCCCTGGGATCTAAACCATTCCACCACTTCATTCAGGCTGTACTGCTGAGGCTCATACCCCAGCTCCTTCCTGGCCTTCTCCATACTAAAATAATGAGTGACACCAGTTTTGTAAACCTCTGTGCGAGTCAGGAGGGGCTGAAAATTATAAATGTGCCCTACAAGAAAATGAACTACTTCAGTAAGGAATGCAAAAAAATAGACAAGGGAGAGAGGGAGGCGACAGGTTGGGAACTTGTAACCCAAACCTTCCACTAAGGGTCGGAAAAATTCAAAGTTATTTACAGGCCTGCCATCTGAAATAAAATAAGCTTGGCCTGCAGCAACGTGCTGCTTTTTGGCTTTGAGGGCCTCAAAGGCAAGGATATGAGCCTGAACCAGGTTGTCTACATGTACAAATTCTACCAAACTAAGAGGATCTCCATAGACAAATTTAAACAGTCCCCTTTCAATATAACTGACTATTCTTGGAAGGTGTCTCTGTTCTCCAGGCCCGTAGATGCCTGCTGGTCGCAGAGCACAAGTCCTTAATACACCTTTCCCATTTCCAAGCTCAGCACCATTTGCCTCCAGCACCTTCATTTCAGCTAAAGATTTGGTTCGGGAGTAGTGATCGGGATGGAGGTGAAGAGGTAGGTAAGGCAGAGATTCATCCCCATTTTCTATAATCTGCCCTCCAAATATCACGTTGTATGTGCTTGTATAAACCAGACTCGACACTCCTGTGCTCTTGCAGGCTTGGATGACATTTTCTGTTCCTTTTACATTAACATCTTCTATAAGTTTTCGGTTCAGCTGCTCCCTGCCAGACATTCCATAGGAAGCGATATGGAATACGCAGATTACATCTCTGAGAGCATCTTCCACTTCAGACAGGCAACAGATATCCCCCTGCATGAACTTTATTCCCTCTGGCACGGCTTGAAGTGGTTTCACTACATCAAAGAGAATCACATCAACTCCCTTTTGATATATGGCACAACCTAAACTGAAACATGAGAGAAACCATATGTTAGGATTCGTACCACAACGGTGCATGAAACATTTCACCTGGAGGAAGAGAGGACTATTAACTATTTTAGTGCTGATTATTTTTCTGATGGGAGCCTTTTAAATATTCAGCCACCTACTGTGGGGCAGATTCAGCTGTGATACTTGAGGTACTGAACTAATTTCTCACACTCCAGCAGTACTTTGGAGAAAAAAAGAGGCAGAATTGCTGTAAAAGATTCTGAACAGAAACAACTGAAGTGCTTTCAGCGGCCTTGTGGAAGAACACAGCTTTGGAAGAACCCTGTTTTTATCCCCTTTATATCAGCAACAGCAAACCTTTCAGATGGAAACCTCTAGCCAACTACTAAAAAAAAAAGTTTATTGGTTTTATCTTACTGCTTTTGTGCCATCCCAACTCTGGCAGAACAACAGGTTGGTCTTCGCCATTGTGTTTGAAATATGTGGAGGAGTGAGATGCTTCTCAGCTGGAATGAATACCTTGCCACATGCCATATTTTACTCCAAGTTGCAGGTATAAATACAGGTATTGACACAAAGTGTAACTCTGGTGTTTCTCCCCCCCCTTTTCTACAACTGTTGTATGTCTGTAGTGCTTTAAGGGGGAGACAGTGGAAGAAAAAGCCAAGCAGAAGTTGGATAGGGTTCTTCTGAGATTTTTTTTTTTTTCCCCTCCTCCCACTTGGCATTTACTTTTTGGTCCTGACTGTGGTGTCTCTCCCCTCTGTAAGCAGTTCTAACTGTGCAGGTACTCAAGATAATCTAGGGCTCAAAATAGGATTTTTTCGTTACAAGGCCTGCAGAGCCAGCTACAGTAAATGGACTTCATTGAAATATGTACCTTATTAACAACTCTAATCCTAAAACATTACGGCCCATGAAAATAAATATATTCTTGAGAGAGCAGCTGGAGTAGTTAATCTGTAGAGCTAAGCAGTGTGTAACTATTTGCAGGTCAAAAGAAAGATGTGTGTACAAGTGGAGGTTTGTCCCTCAGAGCAGGCTGAAAGGTGGTGATCTGACCCCCATTACAGAGGTGACCAGACAGGTAAATGTTGGCGAGGCAGCTGGTGCCTGACATTTGGAAACAGGATAACAAAGTTACTTACAACATCTGGAGACAGACTAACATACTTCTTTAAAACTGAGAGCCCAGATGAACCAGAAGATGGACTGAACTGGATCAGGCATCTCAGGGATATAGTTTTTCGTTTTACAGATGGAATTTGTTGCACCCCCAGCAGCAATCTCTTACATTTATTCCTGTATGTAATAACCATTTAATGCACTAACCGGAAGCCAAAATAACCCCCTCCGCCAGTAATGAGGACTCTTTCCTTGGCAGTGTTTCCTGGTTCCATCCTCTTTCCTTTGGCACTATATGGTGAAACGGACCTGCAAGTCACATTGCAAATACATTAAAACCAATCTGAGTTTTAATATCACCGCACACTCGGTTATTCACCAATCTATTGCACGCTTTAATTGCAGCCTTTCATCTCCCCATCGAGGCGAGGGAGGACGCTCAGCCCCGGGATTCCTCACAGCAGAGGTTTTACGCGGAGGACAGAGGGCTGCAGAGTACAAGGCGAGTCTGGAGCCGCTCGTGACGAGCTCGTTCGGTCTCCAACTCCCCTCCCCGGGCAGCGCGGGGGTCCCGCGGGGGTCCCAGCCCGTACCTGCGGTGCCGGTCCCGTCCTTCCCGTCCCTGCGGAGCGGTGCCGGGCTCTGGGATCCCTGGAAATGGAGCGGGCGGGGCGGGGGCCGCGCCGCGAGATGGCGGCGGGGCGGGCGGGCCCTGCCGGCCTTGGTTTGCAGCCCTGTGTCTGTTCGTGTGCCAGGAGGGCGCCGCTTGTCCCCTTCTCCTGCCCAGGGACGCTCGGTCACAGCGGGGCTCTCAGCCTGAGGCACTTTGAAATGGGGGCTCTCGTGCTGTCTGTGGAACAACAGCCTTTTCCAGCTGTGTCCCGTCCGGATGTTTGTACCAAAACCGGGTGGTGGTGCTGTCCCTGAGCCAGGGCAATCCCCGGGATCAATCCAGGCTGGGGATGAAGAGATGGAGAGCAGCCCTGGGGAGAGCGACCTGAGGGTGCTGGTGGGTGAGAGGCAGGACATGACCTAGCCCAGAAACCCCAAATCCTGGGCTGATCCCACAGCGTGGGCAGCAGGGGAGGGGGGATTCTGCTCCTCTGCCCCCTCAGGTGAGACCCCCCCCTGCGGCTCTGGAATCCCCAGGACAGCAAGGACATGGAGCTGCTGGAGCGAGTCCAAAGGAGGCACCAGGATGATCAAGGGGATGGAGCAGCTTTGCTGTGAGGAAAGACAGAGAATTGTGATTGTTGACCCTGGAAGAGAGAAAGCTTAGGGGTGACCTAATTGTGGCCTTCCAGTGCGTGGAGGGAACTTATGGGAAAGATGGGACAAGACTATTTACGAGGGCATGGAGTAACAGGACAATGGGGAATGGCTTTGATGCCTTAAGCCCCTAATGGTTTTTTTATTTTTCTAATACTGGTAAGCCTTGTAAGTTTTATAGGTAGACTCTAAAAGCAGCATCCCTTGTCCCTATCCCTTTCCCTGTAGCACCCTTGTTTATACATTCCTTAACCCTCTTACCCCATTCTATGCTCCCTATATCAGCCCTACTCCTGAATCTAGCAGAGATGTTTAGTCTTTTGTCAAGGCAAGGCCTAGATTGTTGGCAGAACAGCATATCAGGACCTAAACCACAGAATACGGTCAAGAATTAGGTACCCTTTGTGCTCTGATGATGGTGAAGGTGATGAAGTAGGTGGTCTCGAAATGCACCTCAGACCCATTTTCAGGGGGTGGACCCCGGGGCGGTCCAGAGTAAAGGCCACAGGGTGGACACATCTGGGATTGGATAGATGGTATTATAAAATGTAACCTCTCGGGCACAGGGGCGCTCGTCTTGTAACATCTTAGCCTTGGCAAATAAACCCTTTCTTATCTCACCTCTAATTAACTGCTCTGGAGATTTTTTTCAGCACCTAAATCCCACGGCAACAGCTTCAAACTGAAAGAGAGTAGGTTTAGATCATGTATTAGGAAAAAATTCTTTTCTGCGAGAGTGGTGAGGCACTGGACAAGGTTTCCCAGGGAAGCTGTGGCTGCCTCATCCCTGGAAATGTCCAAGGCCAGGTCGGATGGGGCTCTGAGCCCCCTCGTCCAGTGGAAGGTGTCCTTGCCCATGGCAGGGGGGTTGCAATGAGATGATCTTCAAGGTCTCTTCCAGCACAAACCGTTCTGTGATTCCCTTGGGAGGTGCCTGCAAGTGTCGCCCCAGGGGTGTGAGGATCTGCAGAGGTCTGGGGCACCTAAGAGAGGCTGAGGAGCCCTTGAGCCCTGGGAAATTTGGGTGGACAGGGGAGTTTCAGACCTCACTGCTGAACATTTCTTCATGGAAATGGTTGTCAAGCATGGGAATAGGCTGCCTATGGAGTCACCATCACTGGAGATGTTCAAGAAACAACTGATCACGGCACTTAGTGCTATACTTTAGTTGACAAAGTGGTGTTCAAAGGTTGGGCTCAATGATCTTGGAAGTTTATTTCAACCTAAATAAGTCTGTGATTCTGTGATTGTCCTGCCATGTCAGGGAGAGCTGTGCCCTCACAACATCTCTGTGGATGAAGGTGGCTGTCCCACATGCTACTGCATTTGTTGCGAGCCTGAACTACGTAACACACTCAGAGAATTCTGCTGTGCCTCGTGCAGAGGTTGAGTTGGTTTTGGCAGTGGGAAAACACAGCACTGACTGACTGCAGTAGAATTTCTCCCAAGTTAAGCACCAGCAATCCACTGCAAGCTGTCTTTGAGAGAGAGCCATAACAGAAAAACAATTAAGAATTACACTATCCAAGTTTGTTTTGTGGTATATTCCATTTTTCTTTGGCAGAACTGAGTCACTTGGGGAATGTCAGAAAGTTGATTACTGTGTCAAAACTACTTAAAAACATGCAAGTTTCTGTTTTGCAAAACCTTGACATAAGTAGACATAGTGTGCTGTGTTGTTATTTTGATTGATGGCTGGCAAGAATTAAAACTGAACAGATTCCAAGAAGAATTCTGTAAGTATTAAAACTTAATTTTTTTAGCTGTAATTTCTTGCCGGTTAATCTCTGAGATTCTTAAATAGCAATTTCAAGATGGAGCTGGTGCTGAACCTGACTGTGCAGAGCTGTCTGGCTTGGAGGGCATCCTTCACTCATAGCTGATTTCCCTGTCTGCTGCCCGTGTAGTAGGAGAGTGGGTTTGAGACAACCCTGAAAAATGCCATCCAGATGTATAATCAACGTTATGCTCACAAAAGTATGATAATTCTAGCTCACAAGCACAATCTTGATGAAGATTTTGAGAATATTTTCCCAAGTGTGTAATCACCTGCAAAGTACCAAAAAGTCCTGAACTTTCCCTGAAATCTGCAGACACAATGTGTTTTGTCTTTGAGGAGTCTCCCTGAGAGTATAACAGCTGGTGTCTGTCTTCTGATCAAGCAGATTGTGTTTGAATGGAATATTTCAGAATCACAGGATAGTTGGGGTCGGAAGGATATCGCCCATTGAACCCCCCACACAAAGCAGCTTCACCCAGAGAGCTTACACAGGTCCCTGTTGGTATGGAATTTCTCTAAGAATGGAAAATCCATGTGTTCAGCCACTTTCTCCTCATAGCTCACAGAGCTTTGTGCTGTCTGAGTGGTGTCCCTGACCTTGGACTCTGTGTTGTGTGAGTAAATCCTTCTGTTTGAACAGGCAGCTGTTAACCTCGGGATGACGTTTTGTCCTCTGGACTTTGTGATGTGTCCATGCAGGACAGTTTGCAGGATTGAGACCTCTCTCTGTACATTCTGCTTTTTCTAACTCTCTGCCTGGTATGTCATCTACAGTGAGTGAATTGTGTCAGACTATCTCATAATTAGAGTATTATTAATATAACAAAGCTGTGTTAAGATACTGTAAAGATTTTGCTCTTAAACCAGTATCAGTTTTATTTCTCATTATAGTGAACTGTCCTTTTTGGCTTCAAAGAATAGTAAGGAACACTCATTCCTTCAAAAAAGTGATGTCCATGAAAGCTGTGGGTAAATATTGTTTTACATTTACAGATTTGATGTTAAGACTTGACACTCTCAGATCTCATTGTTCTCCACAACCCACTTGTTCATGCCCTTTCATTCCCTATGAGACTCCACTTTTCCTAAGACTTTATGGACTTCCTGAATGTATCATAAATTCTGGTTTGCCATCAAATAAATGGACTTCCAATTTTATTTTATGTGTAAAAGAACATTTGTCCTGAGATTGTGTCTTCCTAATTTTCCCTTTAAAGAACCAGGCATTTTGGAGGATGCCTTGCATATATCCCAGGATGCAGAAAATCAGACCATGCTGCAGTCACTTGAAGAGACCACACTAATGCCTGGAATTGCAAGTTAGGGCAAGATGTGTCAGGAAAGAAACATTTGCAGGATGGGAGTGGGAGTTATCTCAGTACCACAACCTGAATTGCAATCAACCTGAAATAGGCTGCAAAGAAATCCTTAAATCAGCAACTAAACAGAGCTAAATAAGCAGCTGTTGTGAACAGTGCAAGTTAGAAAGAAACAATGAAATCATTAATTATTCTTTCATAGTATGTTAGTCATTTGGTTGCCTTTGCAATTTAAAATACTTAGCTAGTAAAATTATTTTTGTCATCAAAATACAAAGCATGCCAACAGTACTATTTCAGGAAGCAAGGCAATATTTCATCTGGGGAAATGAACCTTAGGTTACTGTTTTCATATTATTTGATTGATTTCTTTTTAGTATTACTTAACTGTGCCTTTTTTTTTTTTTTTTCATTGTGCAGCGGGATAAGAGAAGAGAACAAGATTTAAAACTAGGTCAGAACCAACCACATTTATGGTCTTACTAAAACACGTAAAACCAATTGGTTAAAATAGTACTGAAGAGGTGAAAACTGAATGTATGTTGAGAATGGAATTAGAATTACAGTGTTCAAAATTAAAATCAAACATTCACTCTAGATTAGAATGGAATATTTTCCAAGGAAGACAGGCTCATGGATAAAAATGCTAGTCTGAGTTTTAGTCTTGGCTCTGACAGAGGTTCCCTGAGTGACCTTCAGAAAATCGTTTTCTGCTCTGTGACAAAGGTGCTGTTGCACTTCCTCACTGCCTGAGCTTGTGGTTGTGCTGGTTTCATTTGTGTTTGTGATGCTTGAATGGGAACTTCAGTAAAAATATTAATAAAGCAGGAAATAAATTGTGTGGGGCTTAAAGAGTTTAGGGAAGTATGCAAGTTATACCCTTTGAAAGTGTTAACACTGACTTCTTTTTAGGCTACCTGTTGATTGTGCAGTATTGCTTGTGGGAAGTGTCATACATCTGGTAATGTGGAGATGACAATCCAAAGCACTTCTAGTTGCTTTTTTCTGTCAGTTCCAGTAGTGGAAAAACTTAGCCCATCTCTTCCAGACTGAGAAAGGAAAAGGATTTCAGCATTAATTGTATTTACTGCTTAGTGAACACTGTTCACTAAGGCTGATTAAAATTGTTCATCTGAACCGTTGCTTTGTATCATTTTCCTAATTTAATTCTTTGTTCTCTCAGGAGATATGACTTTACAAACATTTCCAGTCCTGACTAGGAGATGGTGCAGGGAGTAGTGAATTCCTTATCAAAGTAGGAATTCGGAAAATGGAAGGTAGTCTCTACTCAGCAGAGCTCTTGAAAAGGGTCTGACTGTTTGCA